CCTTTCACTTCCCTTTTCCTGCCGCTGCCCGTACCAGGCGAACACTCGATATACAAATATTACGGCCCTATCATAGTCTTTAAACTTCTTATAATAATAATAATAATAATAATAATAATAATAATAATAATAATAATAATAATAATAATAATAATAATAATAATAATAATAATAATCTCCTCTCCTTAAGAGGGGAGATGAGAATTTTTGGAAAAAAGAAAAAAATAATAATAATAATAATAAGAAGAAGTAACAAGAATTTGGAAACAGGAAAAAGTTTATATAATACCCATAGTCCTCTCATCTACAGGTATCATACCCAAACACCTACATCATAGCCTGAAACAATTAGATATACAAAAAACACTTTACGTCACCCTTCAAAAAGCTGCCATCTTAAATACTTGTCGTACAGTCCGAAAATTTCTCGAAATCGATGAAAATGATATAACACCAGTCACACCAGGCACACAATAAGTACACACACACTCACACATACATACACGCGCACACACACACACATACACACAGTCTGCACTTACTTGGTTTCGGCCCGTAAGTGTGGAGAAAACCAGCAATAGCTGAGAAAAAATAAAGAATGATAATAATAATAATAATATCAGGACAATTCACACAGCGCCATCTAGACCCAAGTTAAGCTAGCTAAAGCTTGTATTATAAGTACTAGATAACTGATACATATACATAGATACTTTTTTTTGTAAATACATACATATTATACATAAAAAACATCCAGACCGATACAAATAATCATACTCGTGAATACAAAATGTTTGAGCCGTGATCGATCGAACCCGCGACTATCGGTCGTAAAGCGGTGTGCTAGACCGCTAGACCACCGAGGTCGTCAAAACGTCTTATATATGTATCTATTGTAAATACTTCGTTAACATAAATATGTAAATAGCCATCACTTAACTCATAATTTCATCTGTTCCTTTCTTGCTGCTGCTAAACTCAATAACATAAATAAAAGCGGCACCAATATGGCCGCTAAAATCTGAAAAAAATATATACACTAAATATTTGTTTACGTTCTAGAAATACGCAAGTGAATTGTTTATTTTTTCACTAGATTTGCATTTGGAATATGTTCGATTCTTCGCACTTGTTACTTATTCATAAATACAAAATGTTTGCACCGTGCATGATTACTTGTCTGTCTGTTGGGTATATTCTATGTATATTATGTAAATATTTATAAAACAAAAGTATTTATTATTTTCCCGTACTCATAACACAAGCTCTGCTTAACTTGGGACTAGATGAGGCTGTGTGAATTGTCCAAGGATATGTCATTATTTTTATTACTTTTCTCTTCTTTTATCTGATTTGACGACCTCGGTGGTCTAGCGGTCTAGCACAACGCTTTAAGTCCGATGGTCGCGGGTTCGATTCCTCGCATGGCACAAACATTTGTATTTGTAATACTTGGGTCTAGATGGCGCTGTGTGAATTGCCCTGAGATTTAAAAGAAGGCGATACTCACTCACACGAGCCTTAGCCAAGTGTTGGAGAGGTTGCGCTATGTGAAGATGTTATTATTCTAGAAAAACCTATAAAAATGTACATTATAAATAAACTGGCCTTTAAAAAAAAATAAACGAATATTCAATTGGGTTTTTTGCCAGTTCTTCATAATTAGATCTACATACTGATCTATGTACAGTCCGGTAGGCAAAAATTATAATATAAAAAATTGACGAACGTAAGTGACTAAACTAAATGATTTTTGTATTTGAATTTGTATGTACTCGACCAATATATCGGTTTCACTATAATTTAATGGCAATTTGAACCGGGAGGAAATTACTGATTCTTTTATATGTTTACGAGGGTGGTACTCCTCACCCTCGAAAGCGCAGCTGACTTTCACTAAGCTTCATAACATAACTTTCTTAATATATAGTAGTCATATACAGAAGTCTTCAACCAGGAGGAAATAATTCACGAAAAAAACCCTCTGGCTCGATTACGAATATCCAAACAAATAGAAATAAAACATTTCCTCTTTACGATACCTACTGTGGTACATAGTTTCTTGCCATTTCGCTTGCATTTTTTAAGATAACAGATAACCTATATTCGTCCTTGTCTTACAACCTATCATGCTCACTAAAATGTCCAGACATATGGCGGCGTGGTGGGCCGGGTCATTGAGCTCCCTAAAATATGGTCGAGCGCAGTGATGGCTGGTTCATCCGTCATACTCGTGAACGAGTGCTGCTTGTAGGGACTGGTCTGCTCTTATCACTACGACTGATTCAACCTTATTGTATATTTATATTTGACCCTAATAAATTAGTGCTGGTTGGTAGTTTGTATTCACACGTTTCGACTTGTAAATGTAAACTTACAAGGATTATTTAAAATGAGACAACACACAAGTTTCTGATGAAGTGCTTAAATTAAGTTTATTGAAATAAATGATTTTCTATTCTATTCTATTCTATCTACCTCAACATCGTTCTTCTTGCACCAATTGCAGAACAAAAAAAAAACAATTAAAATGATGAGACAGCAATCTCTTCCAAACGCTTAAAAAAAATTACAAGAACGGTACATAAAAAAGAATGAAGACAGACAAAAATTGTAAAAAATATTATTTTGGTGTATGTACCGTATTTATATTCATACAGTAGTAAAAAAACGCTAATATATATGTATATCTCGCATTAACTACGGAAACATTTTATTTCTACTTTTTTATGCCAAATATAGGAAATTTAGAGGATGAAAGGTTGTATTACAAACAGACTATTTTATATATATACTCCATTACATCGGTTACCTGCCAAAAAAATTTTATTTATATGTGTAGATTATACATCATTTCAATATTACAAACAGACACTCCAATTTTATTTATATGTGTAGATATCATCATCTGCTTCTTCCTCATCCCATTTATTTGGGGTCGACGTAATATGTTTTTCTCTTCCATTCATCTCTATTGGCAGTTATCTCGTTATTTACTCCTTCTCTCACCATATCATCTTTCACACAGTCCATCCATCTCTTTTTCGGTCTTCCGAATTTATATGTATAGATATATTAGCTGTATATATGTCTAATATATATATATATATATATATATATATATATATATAGATACAGTTAACATTAACTACGATATTTTAACCTAGTTACTCGTCAAACAATGTGCTGCCAATAATGAAAATTGCCTTCAATTTGAGTAATATCTCTGCAAACAAGTTAGCAAAATGATTATAATCAGTCATTGTACTTAGTTATAGCAAGTCATTTTGAATAATGAGCTGTCGATCAACATAATACTAACATTAAGGTGAATTTAAACTAAATGAACTATCTGTACGTAATATATATGTACCTACCTGTATACAAAATTCTCGTGACAGAACTTACCAGATTTTGATGAAATTGTATATGTACTCGGTAGATCTGAGATGACGTCGTTATGGTTTTATACCCCTACGTGACAAAAAAAAAAAATATTTCTTATTCCGCGTAAAATACACACCCTTAAGTGATAAACCCTTATCACTTAGGGGTACCTAAAAATAGGGTATTTTTATTTTACTTTAATTTTTTTTATGATACCGCATAAAATTCACACTGAAATTGTTTTTAATAGAGATATTATTTTCTATTGCAAAATAACGCTTGCTAGGTAGATATATTTATTTGTATAGATTACTATTTATCGATAAAATAAAATCGCCCCCCCCCCCCCCCCCCCTTATTATTAATTATAATTTCTATAATATTTAATATCTACAGATTAAATTAAAAATCGGGTAGACGAATGATAAAAAAAAATTAACCAAGGAACGAAGTGGAAATCTGACAATAATTTTTCACTTTTCATACCAAATTGTACCAATTCATACGTGACCGCAATTTTTTCCCAAATTGCACAAAAAAGGAAGTAGAAAACATCAAATTACATAATCATAAGACACTTATGATCTACGGCCTATATAATACATGTGACCCTGGTATTGTAATTTTGTTGTACTGTATTATATTGTATACTATACAACAGCGAATAGATATACATACCCTTACATACCTTTACAACATCCTTTTTAATCCCAAAGCTCCTTCCTAACTCACAGAACATTTCAAGTTTTCCTCTTCTACTCATTCTTTATTATTACGTTCTTCCGAAAATCTCTTGCTTTCCACACCTTCCCATTCCACCGAATTCTATCACAATTCCTTTACTATAACTGTTATCAAGTTATGGAACTCGTTACCTGTAACTATAAGAACTGCAAAGTCCATTCATATGTTTAAACGGTATGGCATTTTAATTTATATTTAGTTTATTCTATTTAACTTTAAAATTATGTACGTAGTTTATAATATATATTCAGTTTATGTAAGTGTATCTAGTTTAATACATGATTATTATTATGTACATAAATTTTAATTCATATAATATTTATTATTATTTTCCTTTATCATCATTATATATTTGTTACCTTTTAGTTTTCTCCTGTTCATGTCATTTTAACTACCTGTTCGATATTTCAATCCGTTTCCCTAAGGTTGCCTTGAAACGAGTGACGAGACGGTCGAGATGGCCTCGGTGGTTAACGGTTTAGCACACCGCCTTACTTCCGATGGTCGCGGGTTCGATTCCTCGCACGGTACAAACATTTGCATTCATGAGTAGGATTATTTGTATTAGTTTGGATGTATAATATGTATGTATTTACGAAAAAAATATGTATATGTATATGTATCAGTTGTCTAGAACCCATAACACAAGCTTTAGCTAGCTTAACTTGGGTCTAGATGGCACTGTGTGAATCCTGAGATTATTATTAAATTTTCCGCAGTTAGCCTCTCGTCCAGACCATTTTGCGTGTAGAGCCGAGTCTTACCTATCTAAATAAATACATATTCAATTTAGACTTTATGTAACTCAATATAAAAACCATTTTTTATTATCATCAACACATTTATATAAGTTATTGTTTTTTTTCCAGTGCTTCGTAACAATAGGTGTATGTCTCAATATGTCCGGGCATGGCCTCGTCATGGGTTTTTCTGCTATCCTGCTGCCGCAGCTCCGCAGACCCGACTCTGTTATACCCATTGATGAATCTTCGGGATCTTGGATAGGTAAGTCTACACTTTTTTTTATGGATTAGTTTTTTAATGGAATGGTGCGCCCGCCTGCGCTAACATTTTGCGCTGGCGGAGCACCAGTGGAGGATGATAAGATGAGAATGAGGTCAGGTTAGTTAATCCATCTTGACAAATTCAAGTTTCCAGTAACCTGATAACCTGAGACCAATAACCTGATAAATTTTTCGTGAATTTATTGGTTTTCCCTGAAGAAAACCTCGTGGAGGTCAAACTAACATGGTACATTGCTAGCAATAAGAGCAATCATCATCATCAAGATCATCAGTCCACATTACTAACAACCCCCTTTCCCCCGGTAAGTTTACAGTTTACTCCTTGAATAGATAGATAGACAAAAAGTTTGGACATGTCTTTTTACACAACATTTTTACATATGTACATTGGACTCTGTTTTCCACCATCAGCCTCTCATCTGAGCCGCTGTACTTGCATTTTACACGTACAGTACAGTTTCCCTGGGGTCAGCCGACTCGAGGAAAACTAGGATTGTGTCTAGTCTGCTCTATTCCTAGTTTGTCATGATAGGCTGACTGACTTGACCTCATGATCGTCTTATCATTCTTCATTGATGCTTTATCATCCATAAAAAATACAGATAGAAAACACCAGACCAATATAAACAATCATACTCATAAATACAAATATCGTGAGAGGAATCGGACCCGCGACAAGCGGAATTCGGAATGCTGAACCGTTATTCAGCCAAGGTTGAAGATAAAAAAATAGACTTAGTATTCAAAACAGTTGGTAACACGGTTATAAATATAACTAGAGGTTAGCATTGTGAACTAGAGCAGTCGTGTTGGGAGGCTGCGTGAATGTATAACCCTAAGTAACACGATAGAATACATTCGAGGGCAAGGTTTATGTATCCAGTTCTAATACTTCAAATTGACATTGAGTTCATAATTGTGTTGTAAAAAATAGGGATTTGGTGATAGTAGGGTGAAACTTTAGTGTTGTATATATTTTCAATCCTAAATAATAATAAAATGAAAATAAAATATTAAGTCAAAAAAGAAAATATTTAGGGGTGGATATCCCTTACCACTTAGGGGTGTGAAAAATAGATAGTAGCCGATTCTGAGACCTACTGAATATAAGCCGTTTGGGAGGAGTATGGTAACTAACATTGTGACACGAGAATTTTGTATATAAGATTTTCTGTATCAAGTAGTCGTAGAAATTACATGGTAACAAGCATTGTATTAATTGCAAGGTTAGAGTCGTTGACAGCATTCTCAATATGTTAACTAATTTAAAAAATGTAGTAGATTTTAATAATATGAAAGTCAACGTTTACATGATTATTTTGCCCGTCAAGCATATTAATTTTTATTTATCACTCATCATCATGATCTTCCTTATCCCATTCATTTGGCGTCGTCGTAATATATTTCTCTCTTCCATTCATCCCTGTTCGCAGTCATTCGTTATTTACTCCCTTTCTTACCATATCATCTTTCATACATTCCATTCCTCTCTTTTTCGGCCTTCCTCTGCCCTTATAACCATCAACATTCATATGTATCAGCTAAATACTTTAAATATTATCTATTATTTATAGCCTATAAGCTATATTACTATAAAGTTTCATCAAAATCAGTTCAGTAGTTTTTGCGTGAAAGACTAACAAACATCCATCTATACTCACAAACTTTCGTTTAAAATATTAATATACTATAGAATAGAAAATCCTTTATTTTGACTTTTGAATAGTCATCTACTAGTGGTAGATTAAAAAAATAAGTTTATTCGAAAAACGAGCACAAATATTGTCTGTTGCTCTATTAAATCATTTAGTTGTAACTTTACTTGAAATATCATACAAACTACCAACTAGATTAGTGCTAGCGTAGTCATTAGTCATATTCTATAATATAAAAATGAATCGTTAAATGTGTTGGTAAGCGCTAATCTCGAGAACTACTAAACCGATTTCGATAATTCTTTTTTTAGAATATTCCTTGAGGTACAAGGATGGTTCTTACGGAGAGAAAATTTTTAAAAATTGCCTAATAATGCCTAAAAACAATACTTTTCTGTAATCCCATACAAACGATTCTTAATGATACTTAAAAGTCAATCTGAACTTTAATACCATACCATAAAGTTCATGTGTAAGTGCAGAGGTTCCGAGAAGGCATATGTCAATATTAGTCAAAAATAGGTTGTCAGTGATAAAATGTCATTTGCAGTGTAAATGTCTCATTGATGTGCATCTATAATATTACTACAAATCTAAAAGCCAAAAATTTTAAGTGTTGAATGTTTGTAACTCATTTATACTCGACAAGCCTCTTATAAGATATGCCTCGATAATGTTCAACAGGCAAGTCTAAGGTCTACAAGTTCTATTAATAAGGCGGCGGAAAAATTTAGAGAGACCCGAAAAATTTAGTGAGGCGCTATATTCGACTAATAATGGTGCAAATTAGAATCGAGCTGCTTTCTTTTACGATAGCTCAATTGATAGTGTTACTATTGGACCTATGAACTCAGTTTGTAATATTGTAAGGCATTGATATACAAAACTGAAGCTAATATGGAAAGGTGAAATTGTTACCATTGCTTCCACCTCCAGAGCCATTGTACTCATTGATTTTAGAAATAGGAACAGATTTCATACACTTTTTAAATAATATACAACAACCGCTTTCAAATGACATCATTCTGGAGCAATAAAATTAGTTCGGGAAAATTTCATGCCAACTTTTAAGATTTGTAATAGGATTTGCTGTTGTATGTTTATTAATCATAACTATTACCCAAACCCATAAACAATTTTACAATACATTTTTTTCCTTTACTTGAGATAGAACATCATATACATTACAAAGCAGGTTCACTGTTACCAGTGTCCGATAGCGACTACAAAGCAAGGCAATCCTCCACAAGAAATCAAACTACGTTATTCACGTAACATTTAAGTGAAATAGTCAAATGTTGAACAATTACAAAACTTATTTTACGAACACAATCAATTGATTATATTATTTAAAAGTGCAATGAATATGATGCCATCTGATGATTACAATTTTCTTTTTATAACACAGGGGTCAAACGATCATACGGCTCACCTGATGGTAAGTGATTACCGCCGCCCGCATTATTATTAAATTGTTACTAGAGCTGATAAAATTCCTGTGGGTCAAAATGTAAGACGTTTTAATGCACCTACTATTGATGAACATGCCATTATTATGCCATGTTGTTGGATATCGTGTTTCATAAAGTACTACAATAAAAATAAAACTTAATTTATAATAAGCACAAATAAAATTAAATATAATAAGTAGGTACCATAATAAAAAATGTGAAATTATAATTTTTATTGATTATTAAGATTTTAGGTGTTTTATAATTTATATATATATATATATATATTAATTTATATTTTCATTTTTTAACTGAAAAATATAAAAGAATAGTATTAAAATACTAAAAAAATCGAATCGACTGTTAGGCGTTACGAAGTTCACGGGGTCAGCTAGTCGTTAATAAATTAATCAATAAGATTATTAAACAAATCAGCCGTAGTGATTAAAGCAGACCAGTCCCTACAAGCAACACTCGTTTAGTAGCTAAGCACTCGTAGTATGACAGCTCAGCCATCACTGCGCTCGACTATATTTTAGGGAGCCCAATGACCCGGTCCACCATGCCACTACATGTCTGAACATTTTAATGAACATGACTACTCAAGACATTCAACCACATCATGTCTACTTAAAATTACTTACCTATCATCAGTATAAGTACACGAAACAATAAAACAATTTGTATGTACAAAACACAGAAACTTAGGAGCTCCCAGTCAAGATAGAGAACCACTAGTACAACATACAATAATGACTTTATCGTTAGAAAATGCATATTCATTTTCTGATTCAAACGATAAAACTATAAGACATGCTACAAAGCCTTGTCCAGTTCTAAAGAAAATTATATGACAAGGTGTAAAGCCTTGTCAAATACTAAAGCCGCCAATAGATTTACTTGGTGATTCCGTTTAATCCCATAATTCGGAGTATTACAATATCAATAATGTAATAGATATCATTGATGTACATCAAAATATTCGCTTATTCACGTTATCATATTGATAGTGTATCAATATTCATATGACAACTGACATTTTCCTGATGTTTCGTGTATTCAATGATAGTAATAGATTTTTTACGAAATTAGAATATCGTACTAAGATTATAAACGCAAAAGTTTGTGAGTTTGAATGGATAGATATTGGATGAGTGTTTGTTACTCTTGTTATGTATGTTCGTATAAAGGATCAATCAAAAATACTTTTAAGACTTTACAGTAATATAGCTGCTGATATAGCAGCATCAGAATAAGATAGAGGCTGTAAATTTCTCGCGGGTGATACCTTAGGTACAGCTAGTTATGATAATGATGAAGAAATAATAATTAATAGAATAATATTTTAAAAATATAAAACAATATGTTAAAATAAACTCATCGTATGTTTATAAGTCATATGAAATGACATATTGATCAAATTTGACATTAATTTAACGTGGTGTCCCACAGGGTTCTATATTAGGGGCCAATATTCTTTCTTCTTTTCTCTAGAAATTTGATTCCATTTATGCCGTAATTAAATTTAATAGTATTTAATACAAATGCTGTTGCAGATAAATTGCAACTATTGGGCTATAAAACAAACTAGTCAGTACTTATTTAATAAGTGTTATTGAAGAAAAACTTTACTCAGAGACTGATGATAGAGTAACTGAAAGAAACTAAAGAAACAAGACAATAAATACTGCCGCTCTATGTACGACATTTCAATAACATGTTTTTGAAATATATTTAATGGTAATTTACGATTGTAAAAACATAGTCTCAAAGTATTGCACATAAAATTTTAAATGTCATACAATTAGTCTGTCACGGATATAATCTTGTACCTATTTAACATTGCCGTATTCTCAAAACGTTTGCTCTATCCTCTACTGGCGTTATTTGGTAAAGTGCCAACGCAGAATTTTTAGCTCACCTCAAACAGTGGGAGTTCCTAGTGATTTATTATCGGAAACACATTTGTGACATTATGTCATCGGAAGCTTCAAAGTCACAGCGTTAAATATAAACATTTTACTTTTACCTTGACATTCACCTTGAACACTATGAGAGTTATACGTATCATTTAATCTAAGACATACCTACATTAGCGTGGAGATGACTCTACGCTAATATTTTTTTACGGATGATAATACCCCTCCAACCGATCCCCCGTCCAATTCGAACGGGGATCGAAATTACGATGGCCTGAGCCGAGTTTCGAACCCCTAGCGGTGCCCTTGGACTAAAGTCGTATCCCTCAGGCGGGAGTTGGCCTTTAGCTTAAGTCCTTACTTTGGATTAGAGTGCCATCTGCACTCTCTGTTTTGTCCGGTGAATCTGTAAAGGCCAGCTGCGGCCAACAGCATCAGATTAGTCCCAAAAAAAGATGATAATGGAATGATGCACCCGCCTGCACTAACGGTTTACGCTAGCGGGGCACCAGTGGAGGATGATAAGATGAGCATGAAGTCAGGGCAGTGAGCCCATAATGCCCAATGACAATTTACCAAGATGTTTTCTAGGGAGCACCGCGTGAAGGTCAACCTAACATGGTATACTGTTAGCAACGGTGTCATCAGTCCGCATTGCTAAAACTTCCCTTCCCCGTCTAAATATATATAAATCAAAGGTGACAGACATAGTGATCTATCAACGCACAGCCCAAACCACTGGACGGATCAGACTGAAATTCGGCATGCAGGTAGATGTTATGACGTAGGCATCCGCTAAGAAAGGATTTTGATTAAATCTATACCCAAGGGGATAAGATAGATGGAAGTTTGTCCGAAACTTTGTCAATATTAAACCGATCGGGCTGAGACTTTGCATGCATAAAGTTACTATGACGTAGGCATCCTCTAAGAAAGGATTTTGATAAATTCCACCGCTAAGGAGATAAATTAACGCGAGTGAAACCGCGGGCTAAATTTAGTGCTAATATAAATGCGATAGTACGTCCGCTTGTTGCCTTTTAACGGCTTTTTAGTTTAATTAGTGAATATGACGTTTTGAAATTTACAATAAAATAATGGCGAGTAACACAAACTGCTTTCCAGACGAACAACCCGCTATGTGTTTATATAGTTGTATATAATAAATTAGTTACTTAAATATATCACCGTGAAAGGATTATTATGAACGGTTATAAAATTTATCATGTAAACATTACTAAACTAGTAACTTAACTATTGTTATAATATATTATCACTTATCTATACATATAAATAAAACTGTAGTGTCTGTTATATCGAAATTAGTATTTTTCTACGTGTATATACGGTACATACACCAAAATAACATTTTTTACAATGTTTGTCTGTCTGTCTGTATGTTTGTTCCGGCTAATTTCTGAAATGGTTGGACCGATTTTGACGGGACTTTTTTTGCAGGTACGTAATAAGGAGTAGCTTAGCTACTTTTATTTTAGAAAAATATAGTTAAATTTCACGCGGATGTAGTCGCGGGTATTTGGTTACTATAAAGATTTCGCTAGGTATGTTTGAATCTTTGTTTTATACAACGTAGGTGGCAAAGAAGCATACGGGTCACCTGATGGTAAACAGTTACCATAACCTATAGACGCCTGAAATACAAGTGGTTTCACGTGCGCGTTGCCGATCCCTAAGAAACCTTAACCCTTCTTGAAAAACCCCATGCAATCTAACATCGTTAAACTCTCTCAAACAATATGTTTTTTTTTGTTATTATATATAAAAATATTAATTTATACCTCATATTTTGTTCCAGCTTCAATCCTGGGTTTCGCGTTGGTAGCAGGCAACTTCATAGCACCGACCATAATGGCGAAATATGGCAGAAGAACAGCCAACCTGGTCAGTATTGTGCCAATGTTGGTCGGCTGGTTCTGTATCATCACAGCGACCAATATACCATTACTCCTCTTCGCCAGATTTCTTCAAGGAATATCTATGGGCATGAGCGCAACATTGGGACCAGTTTTAATTGGCGAATATACTAGCCCTAACAACCGAGGTGCATTTTTAACAAGTATATCACTGACTATTGCAATTGGAGTCTTAACGGTGCACACAGTAGGCTCTTATTTACCTTGGCAGACAGCGGCTTTAGTCTGCGCTTGTATTGTCTTTGTGGATTTGTTAATAGTGATCTATTCACCAGAATCACCCAGCTGGTTATCTGATCAAGGAAGATATGAAGAGAGTAAACGTGTCTTTAGATGGTTAAGAGGAGATGGTGAAGAAGAGGAACTGAAAGAGATGATAGAAGCCAGTATAATCATTAGAGAATCAAAGGACGAAGCCAATTTGTCGGAATCATTTCTAAAGAGAATGAAAGCTAATATGGCTTATTTCTGTATCACAATACAAAAGAAAGAGTTCTACAAACCTATTTTTATTATGATGCATGTTTATACGCTAGGACAGTGGGCTGGTGCAAACATTTTAGCATCTTACACTACAGACATCTTCCACAACGTAGTCGGAGATGGGGTCAATGTAGCTCTTATGATTATCTTATTAGATATCCAAAGAATTATCTCAAATTCTTGTGCCGTTTATGTTATTAAAAAAATCAAAAGACGTACCATGCTCTTCATCACAGTAGGCATTAACCTTTTTGCGTTTCTATCAATCGCTGCATACACTTATGCTAAATCTCATAACTTATTGCCATTCGATCATCCAGCTATTGGTATTGCACTAATACACATACACATGTTCTCTATTGCAACTGGAACTGTTCCATTGCCATTCATAATAGCTGGAGAGCTGTTTCCTTTAGAATATAGAAGTTTAGCTGGCGGTATAAGTGTTTTGTTCTTATCTTCGAATCTTTTTATTACAGTTAAAACTGTAGCTCTTCTATTTAAAACTGTAGGTATATATGGTGCTTATTTATTATACTTTTTCGTAGTAGGTTACTGCTTAGTTGTAGCAGGATTGTTACTTCCTGAAACGAAGGACAGAACACTTCAAGATATTGAGAATGAATTTAGAGGTAGACCATTAACTGTAGATGAATTAAAATCTGTTCAGTCCTTGACATCGTGGAAACAGCACAGTAAAGATAGAAGATGCAGCAGCCCTATTATTTAGTCTTTGGAATCCTTGGAATCCTCTAGGGCAGAGGTGAAATTATTTATTTTGTTAGTACAAATTTTATGTGATTTAGTATTAATGTCTGTTAAAACAGTAATGCCAACCTTAAAACTTATTGTCTCAAATGAAGAATTTAAAAAAAATATCATGTTTGTATTTGGGTCTGTAGATAGTCATATTAAACAAATATACGAAATTTATGGCTTGTATGATAAAGTAAATAATTTGTTTAAACCCATAGAAATAATAACAAGAACATGTTTGGATCGTAAACATCTTTCTACATAAAAACTATGTTTGTACTATTAGATTACACAGTAAAATATGAACTTTAATCGTAAGTGGTAATTAATGATAAAATGGTAAATGAACAGCTGTTCATATAGCTATATGCGGTGTATTTGATGACCAAACGTGAATTAATTTTGGTAGTGACTGAATGGACACGTTATGAGAATAATGCAGACGACCCAAAAATGCAATGTACGTAAACCATACTGCAATTATTTGTGCCCATCTCCAGAACAAGGTATACAAAATTTAGATACAGAAGATACAGAACTGAGACATTTAGACAAAAATAAATAAATACATAATGAATAGTAATACATTTCCCCTGGTCAAAATCTGGCACAAAATTGTACAAGGATAATCATGTCCTTCTACCGAAGACCAAAATTTCGTACCTGCATGATGATAATAGTAAGGTTGGCATCTGAGGTTAAAAGTAAAGAGAGTGATTGAATAATTGGAGCACAATGAAAAGCGTATAACAATATTGCTTTATAAAAATCATACTACATCATACTCGCCGGAGTTTAATAGACCTCTTAGACGAAAAATGCAATATTAACTGACTAAAGTCCGGCCGTTCAGAATTTCCTACTCTGACAGGTCGGGATCGAAAGGGCGATGTAACTTTGAACTGACGTACAAATCTAAATATATATAACTCAAAGGTGACTGACGTAGTGATCTATCAACGCACAGCCCAAACCACTGGACGGATCGGGCTGAAATTTGGCATGCAGGTAGATGTTATGACCTAGGCATCCACTAAGAAAGGATTTTGATTCTACCCCCTAGGGGATAAAATAGGGGATAAAAGTTTGTATGAAACTTTGTCAATTTTAAATCGATCGATCTGAGACTTTGCATGCATAAAGCTACTATGACGTACGCATCCCCTAAGAAAGGATTTTGATAAAGTCCACCCCAGATAAATTAACGCGAGCGAAGCCGCGGGCAAAAGCTAGTAGTTTTTAAAAGTCAAACCACATAAAAACTGTGCTGTTTCAAGGTTATATCAACTGTTTGTTTTTGTAGTGATCAAAGTCTATTTTTATATTTGTTAAGTAGTTAATAGTTTTAGGTGTATTGTAAATTGGAGTAATTATTGAATTTTTAAGTAATTGAAGTCAGGCAAATAAAATTTTGCCGTAAATTGTACGTCAATTCAAAGTTAAGTCGCCCTTTCGATCCCGACCTGTCAGAAACTCAAACTCTGAGCTACGGACTAGTATTTTTTCATTGGCGGGTTATGCAAAGTACATTGTCATGTAAAGCGGTTGTTTTTCGATGGTCAGTGCGGTCTCTCTGTCTGTGTATGTTTTGTAAGTCATTAATTTATATTTTATGTATTACTTTTAGATAATTTCGTAAGATTCATTCCATGTATTTGGATCTATATTAAGTATTGCTAGAATTTTCTGCGCCCGCCACACAATTATTGTGGAATTAATTGTGAATGCAAGTGCCTTCTATATGGTCTAAAGAATTGTTACAATTTGTATAGAATTCGTTTTATATCTATCTATTAAGAAACTAGCTGTTCACGCGACTTCGTCCGCGTGGAATTTAATTAAATTTTTCTAAAATAAAAGTAGCCTAAGTTACTCCTTATTACATACAACCAAAAAAAATCGGTCCAGCCATTTCAGAGATTAGCCGGAACAAACAGACCAACAGACAGACAGACAAAAATTGTAAAAAAATATTTTGGTATATGTACCGTATTTATATTCATATGCATGTAGTAAAAAACGGTTATTTCAATATTACAAACAGACACTCCAAATTTATTCATATGTTGTGTTTGATGTTAGATTTTTATAATATAATAATTATTAAAGAGTAATAAATTCCATGTTTATACGAATTCCATAATTTAGTTTATTATAAAAGAAATTATTTAGTTTTGATATAAGTTTGATACTCAACAGTATGATTATTTAATATTAAACTATATTATTATAAATTTACGATGATATTTTGATTAAGTTGATTAATAAATTATTGATGTTTAAATGAATTTTTATTTTTAATAAAAATAATAATAATATCACACTATTGGGTTGACTGGAAGAGATCTCTGTTAGAGATAAGTTCTTTGTTAATGTTATTACCAACTAACTGTACTTGCGACTCCGTCCGCGTGGAATTTAACTTTATTTCCTAAAATGAAAGTAGCCTATAATACTCCTTATTATATTAGCTACCTGCCAATAAAAGTCTCATCAAAATCGGTCCCGCCATTTCAGAGATTATCCGGAACAAACAGACAGACATACAAAAATTGTAAAAAATGTTATTTTGGTGTATGTACCGTATTTATATTCATATGCATGTAGTAAAAAACGTTTATTTCAATATTACAAACAGACACTCCAATTTTATTTATATATATAGATTAAACTCTACGAAATAAAAGTATTGTTTCCTCGACAGATAACAGCATGAGGTTTTTCAAGAAGGGTATTTATTTATATGTATAGACTAGCTGTACCCGCGACTTTGTCCGCGTGGAATTTAACTTTATTTTTCTAATATTAAAGAATTTTTCTAAAATAAAAGTAGCCTAAGTTACTCCTTACTATATCACCTACCTGCCAAAAAAAGTCTCGTCAAAATCGGTCCAGCCATTTCAGAGATTAGCCGGAACAAACAGACCGACAGACAGACAGACAAAAATGACATGAACATACCCGAATAATGTCTTTATAAAGAATAAAGATAAATCATTTCTGATTGGGCTATTTCCTATTGGCAAAATTGCAAGAGCATATGCTGGTGGTTACTCTATTCTGTCTAATTTTTTATTTAACAATGAAACTGTATTTTTGTAAACATGTACAAGCATATTTGAAAAGAATAAGAGCTAAGTTTCTTCTCAGTTCTTCTCATCTCGAATGCTCTCCGAGCTGATGATTTTTGACATATAATAAGAGTCTGTAATAGACCTACATGAATATGGATGTTTCGATTTGGTTTGATATGCAAATCAGTTTCTTATGTTATTTTTTGAACCTATCATCCATTTCAGATGACTACCTGCTACCAGAGCAGTCGCTTTAGTTAAGAAGAACTTGCAATAAACTCAAGTGTCTGTGGGAAGATCTTATTGCTAGCAATGTACCATGTCTGGTAGCCCTCCACGCGGTTCCTTCTGGAAACCATCGTGATAAATTCTTGGTGAAATCGTCACGATGGACTAACTGACCTGATCTCATGTTCATCTTATCATCCTCCACTGGTGCTGCCAGCGTAAACCGTTAAAGCAGGCGGGTGCATTCCATAACCATCAATAAAAAATATTTCCCATATTATACTTTATTTTATTTTTTAATTTTATCTCATATACGAAATGGAAACAAGTTTACAAATAAAATTGCTGTTATATAAAAAAAACTAGCATACTAAACACTCCTTCGCTTGCCAGTTCGACTAAAATTATGCACAGCCATAACTATGGGAAGTTATTACATTTATTATGATGTAGTCTCTATGGACTTTGTACAATGCATTTTATCACGCTAAATGCATTTCAATTTTAGTCATGCATATGCAATTACATATTACTAGCTGTTCCCGCGACTTTGTCCGCGTGGAATTTAACTTTATTTTTCTAAAATAAAAGTAGCCAAGTTACTCCTTATTACATCAGCTACCTGCTTATAAAAGTCCCGTCAAAATCGGTCCAGCCATTTCAGAGATTAGCCGGAACAAACAGACAGACAAAAATTGTAAAAATGTTATTTTGGTGTATATACCTTATTTATATTCATATGCATGTAGTAAAAAACGGTTATTTCAATATTACAAACAGACACTCCAATTTTATTTATATGTATAGATAAGGAATAGGTAGGTACAGTTGGCTTCTGAGACAGTATTATATGAAGTAGCATAAAGGTTATTTATATAAATGGAATGACAAACAAACTAACCTAAATGATGGTAAGTGGTAAACCTCGCTTATACATAAATAACATGTTCATACCACTTATGCGTTTCCATTTCTATCATTTTTGAGGAGTATGTCATGCTATATCATCCTATAATTTCACTGCCTTATCCCATCTACCTATGATATGACCTACAACCGAAAGTCAGATACAAAGCAAACTTGGCGGCTGAAATAGAACAGAATAGAACAGAACGAGGAAGGGTTTGCCAGTAATAATCCCATTGTTAGCAATGGACCACGTCAAGTTGACCCTCACGTGATTCTCTCTGGAAACCATCATGGTTGTTAGCAATGGACCACGTCAAGTTGGCCCTCACGTGATTCTCTCTGGAAACCATCATGGTAAATTGCCATTTGTGATGTACCACGTCAAGTTGACCCCCACGTGATTCTCTCTGGAAACCATCATGGTAAGTTGCCATTTGTGATGTACCACGTCAAGTTGACCCCCACGTGATTCTCTCTGGAAACCATCATGGTAAATTGCCATTTGTGATGTACCACGTCAAGTTGACCCCCACGTGATTCTCTCCGGAAACCATCATGGTAAATTGCCATTTGTGATGTACCACGTCAAGTTGACCCCCACGTGATTCTCTCTGGAAACCATCATGGTAAGTTGCCATTTGTGATGTACCACGTCAAGTTGACCCCCACGTGATTCTCTCTGGAAACCATCATGGTAAGTTGCCATTTGTGATGTACCACGTCAAGTTGACCCCCACGTGATTCTCTCTGGAAACCATCATGGTAAATTGCCATTTGTGATGTACCATGTCAAGTTGACCCCCACGTGATTCTCTCTGGAAACCATCATGGTAAATTGCCATTTGTGATGTACCACGTCAAGTTGACCCTCACGTGATTCTCTCTGGAAACCATCATGGTTGTTAGCAATGGACCACGTCAAGTTGGCCCTCACGTGATTCTCTCTGGAAACCATCATGGTAAATTGCCATTTGTGATGTACCACGTCAAGTTGACCCCCACGTGATTCTCTCTGGAAACCATCATGGTAAATTGCCATTTGTGATGTACCACGTCAAGTTGACCCCCACGTGATTCTCTCTGGAAACCATCATGGTAAATTGCCATTTGTGATGTACCATGTCAAGTTGACC